AAAAAAAAAAAAAAACATTCTCCCAAATCTAGTATAGTGACTAAACATCTTAAAATGGTAGTAGTATTAACTTGGGCTTTATTTAATTTTGTGTCGGTCTTTTTATGGGTCACATTGCCAGAGAGTTTCAATACAGGGATTATTTTGGACGTGGGCCCCTCTTTACTAATTTAACAAACTAAAATGCCCATTTTGGAGTATTTCAATTAATGGAAAACAAAAGATGTTTCTCTGCCCAGTTAGCTAAGCCCAATCTACATTGTGTCAAAATATTTTATTCAATATATATCGTATGACATATTGTAATTCTGTTAAAGAGACATTCATGAATTAATTTGTATTAATATTATATAAAATATTGTATTCGTAATACTATTGTTTTGTTCAAATTTTTAAGATTAATTGAGAATAAAAATTAAAAGTAGGTTTGAAATATAAGAAATTATTTTAGATATAATTTAGATTTAAATAAACTAATAATATCTCAAAAACGTTGTAAATTTGAAAAGAAGACAACTTATTTATATTCAAAAACTACATGGGTCCCTATCAAAAGTTCAATTTGACTTTTTGGCCTCCTTTGCTCCCGCAAAAGCACATATGGTCTTAACCAGAGAAGGGACAATAGGCTTGTTTGGAAAAAGTATAGGCCAACAATTGTGACCAAGGGCAGTCGTAGCCTCGCAACATTCTTCTCCCAAACCCGCAAAATTGTTAATGGAAATCACCTCTTTTATCGCATCGATGCATCCTCCCACACTTCCTAAAGACCCTAAGCAATCTAAAATGTTGTCTGGCTTCATCGCAGTGTCTTGTGTTTCTTCTGCAAGCACCGCTGGTAAAACTAGCTCTGCAATGCGTTCTAGCATCCACATAACAAATGCTTTTGAGGACACAAGCTCCTTGAGAAATTTTGAGTTTTCTGAAGTGTTTATTGTAGTCCCTAGAATGAAAATCTGATGGAATTTATAGTATTTCTAAGGGAAAATTATTTGGGATCGGAGGTTTTTTTCCTTAAATTATGGATTTTGGTTACTATATATGATTCACATTCTATATGCCTTTTTTTCATTTTCTTTGGCTATAAACTTCATCTATTATTGTTATTATTATTTTACAATTATGGAGTTTTTGAGGTAAATTTTGTCAGTCTTAAAAATAATTTTTTTTAAATAATTTTAAAAACATAAATTTACATTAATTTTTTGTATTTAAAAAAATTAAATTTTCATTATTACTTAGCTTCGAGATTCAAACACTAAATATAATTAATGTACAAGAATGATAATCGCTTACAAGTGAAACTAAGAGTTGACCAATTAATTAAGCTCCATTTTTGTTACCTAATATAAGTGCCTCTTCTTTGGATAGATTTTTTTTTTTTTTTTTCCTTTGTGAAATTCTCCACTGGATTTTTTAGTTTATTAAGGTTGTTATTTACGAATTTAAATTTCAAATGCTTACTTTTGTAATGAGTCAAATGATATCATCTTTAGTATTCTTGCCATGCGAATATCTTAATTGTTATACAAAATTTTATCAATATTTTTTTACAAAAATAAAAATAAATCTTTT